GGCAGAGGAAGATTGCACCATGTGATGAACTTGTGGGTCTGGGGACAAGATCATGAACTTTCAACTGGGTGGAAACCCAGGAAGTTTTCAGATTTGGGTTCCCACAGATTGTACCAACATGTCTCTCTTATTAAATTGAAACTTTGATGGAAGGTATGCCTTGAACTCTGATTTAATTCTGGATGATATTTGGAACGCTGACACTGTTTTGTCATTTATTTGCATCCAGTGCTTACTGTGGACAAGAGGACCCACTCACTGCCTGAAACAAAAACAGCCATCTCTCTCACAAACCCTCTTTCCTGGCAGACCCCCTCATCTTACAACGTCTCCACCAAGGTGCGTTCATAAAAGGTGCAGGTGGGTGGCCCAGCCACCTCACAGTGTGTCATCCTTTCTCAATGCGTCAAATGGCCAGAGAGCCTCTCAAGAGCATGTGGGGAGGGGAGGGGAGGGGGTTTGGCCCCAGTTCACTCCTTATCATGCATAACGCTAAGAGTTGCATAGAACCAAGACGAGCGGCAAATAAATCTAATAAATAAACGGCAAAAGATGACTCTGCAGTGATCTAGCAAAGAAAGGAAAGCCGCCTCTGCTTTGTGGTGCAGTGACTCATCATTAATTACACAGCCACATTTTCCCAGGCATTGCCAAAACGTTAAAAAATACACCTGCATTCACACATTGCGCCATGTGGCTTATTGGTTTGGGCTTGCGTATTGCGAGAGCCCAACAATTTACTGAACACATAAATCAAAGGTTAATGAAAAAGTAACACTGTTCTTGTTATGAAGGATTGGATTCAAGAGATATGTTTTTGAAAAGGCATTTTTATATATTACTAGCTGATAACCCAGCATTGTCCAGGTATTTATTTATAGCGGGGGAAATGTCCGGACCAAATATAATTTCTAATGTTGGATTTTCCCTCTTATCAGAGGGAGCCCCCTTGTGAAGCCGTTACCATGGCAACTCCACTACGCTGTTCAGTGGAAGCCATTTTGCGGCAGTACAGAAGCCATTTTAAGACATAACAGGCTGTATCTTAACAGAACACACACCCTGAGGGGCTTTAGGGGTGACTTAACCTCACAGTATTTGTTTCCAGAGAGTAAGTCATCTGAGTTTGGTTGAAATTGCTCAAGGCATTCCACCTTCCAGTTATGCTGGAATGAACACACAAACAAACAAACATGGTGAATTATATTGTGGGGTGGAAATAGAAGCAAACAACCAACTTCCCTTTCTGGACGCCCTAATCTACAAAAAAACCAATGGCTCCCTAGGACACACCATCTACCGGAAAAAAACACACACCAGCCTCTACCTAAACTCACACTCCCATCACCACCCTTCACAGATCAACTCTTTAGCCAAGACCCTCTTCTCCAGA